CCTGTCCTCTGCTAGATCCTGCCTAAGGGCTCCAAAATTGGCCCTGCTCCAGTGCAGCACCTTAACCTGTGGACCTGTCCTATCTTTTTCCATTACTATGTTAAAACTAAAGGAGTTATGGTCACTGGACCTAAAGTGGTCTCTGACTGACACTTCAGTCACTTGCCCGACCTTGTTACTAAGAGGAGGTCCAAGGAGGGCCCTCTACATATTGATTTAGCAAAACTTTCTTGGACACATTTGACAAATTCCACCCCGTCCAGGCCTTTTACACTCTGGGTGGCCCAGTCAATACAGGGGAAATTAAAATCTCCACCAATACTACTCTATTATTCCAAAAGGCATCTGCAATTTCTCCACACATCTGCTCCTCTAGTACCCGCTGGCTATTTGAGGGTCTATAATACAGTCCCAACAAAGTGACCATTCTCTTCTTGTTTCTAAGTTCTAGCCATATGGTCTCATTTGATTACCCCTTAAGACCTCTCTAAGCACTGTTGTTATGTCCTCCCTTAATTGTACTTCTGTCATGCCTGTAGCTTCTGTATCCTGTAACATTGAGCTGCCAGTCCTTGCCCTTCTCTAGCCACGTTTCCATTATAGCTATATTATCCCAGTCCCCAGAACCAATCCATGCTCTGAGCTCATCTGCCTTACCAGTCAGGCCTTGTGCATTAAAAATAAATGCACTTTAAACCAGAGATAGCAAGAACTGCAGATGCTGGAGTCAGAGACAACATAGCATGGAGCTGGAGAAACATAGCCCCTGGCTATCCTGAACAATAAACTTGTTTGTGATAGCTAATGTATTTCCCCCTGACTTTTCGATGGACCTCTCTTATTCAGAACCCCAACCACCTGCCAAACTAGTTTAAACCCTCCCAGGTAACATTAGCAAATCTCCCCATGAGGATACTGAACCCCCTCTGGTTCAAGTGCAACCTGTCCCTCTTGTAGAGGTCACCTCTAGCCCAGAAGAAATTCCAATAATCCAAGAACTGAAAACCCTGCCCTCTACACCAGTTCTTCAGCCAGGCATTCATCTGGTCTATCTTTCTATTTCTACCCTCACTGGTGCGTGGCAGTGGGCATAATCCAGAGATCACTACCCTTGGGGTCCTGCTTTTTAACTTCTTACCTAACTCCCTATACTTCTGAGGAAGGATGCTCTTTCTCTCAAGGGACTGCAACAAAGGTTTACCAGACCGATTCCAGGGATGGCAGGACTGATGTATGAGGCAAGATTGGCTCAGTTAGGATTATTTTCGCTGGAGTTCAGACAAATGAGGGTGGATCTCAGAGACTTACAAAATTCTAACAGGACTGGACAGGGTAGACGCAGGGAGATTGTTCCTGATGGTCGGTGTAAGCAGAACCAGGGGTCACAGTCAAAGGAATTGGGGTAGGCCATTTAGGATGGAGATGAGAAGACATTTCTTCACCCAAACAGTGGTGAGCCTGTGGAATTCATTACCACAGGAAATTGTTGATGCCAAAACATTGAATGTATTCAAGAGGTAGCTAGATATAGCACTTGGGCTGAATGGGATCAAAGATTATGGGGAGAAAGAAGGAATAGGGTTGGATGATCAGCCATGATCATGAAAAATGGCAGAGCATCCTCAAAAGGGCCAAATGGCCTCCTCCTGCTCCTATCTTCTAGGTTTCTGTGTTTCTAAGGCAGATGTGTTTCGGGAACAAATTAAAATACAGGTGTATGACATCATTGCTGTCACAGATACATGGTTAAAAGAGGGACAGGATTGACAGCTCAATATTCCAGGATGTAGCATCTTCAGGCATGATAGAGGGGTACATTAAAGAGGAGGTGGTGTCACAATGTTGATCAGGGCATCAGTTACAGCAGGAAGGAGGGATGACATCTTAAGAAAAGGTCCTCAAATGAAGGCATGTTATTAGATCTTAAAAAACGAAAAAGGAGCAATCACAAAGGTGGAACTGTGTTATACATCCTAACAGTCCGAGAGAAATGGAAAAGCAATATATGGGCAAATTTCAAGGAAGTGTAAAAGTAATAGGGTAGTGACAGTAAGAGATTTCAACTTACTCAACATCAACTGTCATTGTGTGAAAGATTCGGAGGGAGTGGAATTCTTAAAAATGCATCCAGGGCAGCTTTTTAAGCCAGTCATTTTGGATGGGTGGGGAGGGTGTGGCGTGAAATTACCGGACTTAGTTGTAGGTGGTGAAGCTAGGAAAGTAGTTGAACTATTAGGAGGGGTACATTTTGCAGACAGTGATGGTAACTCTGGTTAGATTCAAGACTGTTATGGAAAAGACAAGGATGAGCCTGAAATCAAAGTTCTCAACCGGGAGAAGGCTGATTTTAATAAGAGCAGCTCTGATTTGGCAGAGTGGACTCAGAACAGATACTTTCAAGTAAATCTGACTTAGAACTACTAGATGCATTCAAGAAAGAAATATGGAGAGTACAGAGCCAACATGTTCCAATAAAGAAAAAAAGGGTGGGATCATCAAATCCTGTGAACCCTGGAGGCTTATGGCAGATGTTGAGAGCTCAAAACAGCAGAAGCCCCAAAGGAGTGTAAAATTTGCAACAGGGAACTTAAAAGGGAGAACAGAAGAGCTAAAAGGGGATATGACGGCATACTGCAGATAAAATGAAGGAAAATCTTAAGCTGTTTTACACATACATTAAGGGTAAGAGGATAACAGCGGAGAGAGTAGGGCCCATTAAGGACCACAGTGGTAATTTGTGTGTGGAGCCAGAGCAACGGTCAAGAAGGTGCAATACGGCCTCTTCTTCCTCAAGATGCTAAGGAAATTAGGCACGTCCATAGGCACTCTCACCAACTTTTACAGATGCACCACAGAAGGCATTCTATCTAGATGCATCATGCCTTGGTTCGGCAACTGCTCTGCCCAGGACCGTGAGCAACCACCAAGAGTTGTGAACACAGTCCGGTCCATCACACAAGTCAACTTTACATCCAATGACTCCATCTACACTTCTCACTGCCTCAGAAAGGCAGCCAACATCAAAGCAACCTCCCACTTCTTCAGTCAGGCAGAAGATATAAAAGCTTAAACTCACGTACCAACAGCTCCTTCTCCGTTGTTATTAGACTTCTGAATGGACCTCTCAAATTTCAAATCTAATACTGATCTTGCTTTTAGTACACCTTTTTTGTAGCCGTAACTTTGTATTCCTTGCTCTGTTCAATCGTCTTATGATCTCTGTATGTTATGATCTTTCTGCACTGAACGTAAAGCACCTAGGAATGTGTGACAATAATAAAACAAATCAAACCAAAAGATTTCTGATGAAGGGTCTAGGCCCGAAACGTCAGCCTTTTTGCTCCTATGATGCTGCTTGGCCTGCTGTGTTCATCCAGCTCTGCACCTTGTTGTCTCAGATTCTCCAGCATCTGCAGTTCCTACTATCTCTAAATCAAAAGAGCTTGTAGGTTGGGTACTAAGTGAATAATTTGGGTCAGTGTTCATACTAAGAGGGACGATGTGGGTAACAAAATTCGTGAGATAGTCTGTGATACAATTAACAAAATTACTATAGACACAGGAGGCCAAGGTTCAAGTCCCACCTGCTCCAAAGGTGCACAATGATATCTCTAAACAGGCTGACTGGAAAATATCTGGACCATGAGGAGGTTCTGAGTGGTACAGCAGGCATTTAAGTACTTAAATCTCCTGAGCTGAATAAAATGTATCCCAGGTTGCTCAGTGAGGCAAGGGAGGAAATAGCACTTGCAAAAGTTTTCAATTCCACTCTGGCCAGAGGACTGGGAGACAGCCAAAGTGGTATCATTATTCAAGAAGGGCCCATGGAATCCAAGGAAGTGTGGCAAATTGGATCCACAATTGGCTGACAGGTAGGAAGCAGAGGGTTGAGGGCTGTTTTTTTCAAATGGAAATCTTTGTTCATGGTTTTACAGGGGTCCATATTGGGGCCCTTTCAGTTTGTGGTTTGTATAAGTGATTTAGATTGAATACAGAAGGGTTGATCAGCAAGTTCACAAATGATACAACATTTGGTGGGGTAATATATCGTGACAAAGACAGCCTTAGACAGGAAGAGGATATAGACAGGCTGGTCTAGGCAAAAGGAATTAAATATAAGCCATAGCACTTGGGCAGGACTAACAAGGCAAGGGAATACATGATTAGTGGCATTGACCCTTGATATTCAATGCTGTCAACATCATTAAATCCCCCATTATCAACATCCTAGAGCTTACCACTGACCAGAAATTCAACTGGACTCACCAATTAAATACAATTGTTACAACAGCAGGTCAGAGGCTAGGAACACTGCAGCAAGTAACTCACCTGATGACTTCACAAGGCTTGTCCACCATCCACAAGGCTCAGAATCACGAGTGTGATGAAATAGCCCCCACTTGTCTAGATGGGTGCATATTGTGACTGGAACCAGGTGGACCTTGTTAACTACAAGGTTCTTGATTGGCCCAGATTAACAACCCAATCAGGAAGGCCCTGGCTGACTAATATAACCAGGAGATTAGAATCTCCTCAGTTGAGGACTGATTCTAGCCAATAGTATTGTAGATTTCTTTTACTTCTTGAGAACTGATTTCCAGGCTGGTTGGGTTACAGCTGGATTTTAATTCTTGGTGGGGAACTGCTTTTTGAAACTGGCTGGTTACAGCTGATGCATTGTTATTTCTGGAACTGAAGCAAAGATGACTTGGTAGCAAGGCTTGCTCCTTGCACTATAATCTTAAGTATTTGTACTTTACTTTTGCATATGTTTTCACCTTTTGTATGTCTAGACTGAGCCTTCATGAGTCAGCTGTGCCTTTTTGAGTGGGCTGAGCCTCTGCAGTGGATGGGCCCTCCATAGGTGGGGTGTAGCCTCTAGTGTAGGCCTGCCCTCCAGGAGCCTGCTGTGTTTGTCCAAGCAGACCAGGTTTCAAGATGGACTGCGTATCTCTACATACGCTGTGAGGTGTGTACTTGGTGCCTTTGGGCATGGACTCTGCCTTCGGGCATTGACTTGGCCAATTATGTCTGGTTTGTTATGTTGTCTAGCAGGCCTTACCGAGAGCCTGAAGGTGAGTAGGTTATTCCGAAACAAAAACAAAGAACTGTAAATTGGAAACAAAATTTGCTGGAAAAGCTCAGCAGGTCTGGCAGCGTCTGAAGAAAAAAATCAGTTAATGTTTTGGGTCTGGTGACCCTTCCTCAGAACATTGTGTTGAAGTTGTCCCGAAAGCTGGATAGTGCGTAGGTTGTCCCGAAAGCTACCTTGCCAAAAAGGCATAGGGACAGGCTGTCCTAGATGTGGTCGGAAGGCGAGTAGGGGTGGGCTAGGTGCTGGAAAGTATGTAGGGATGTGCTGCGAACTGGAAGGTGCATGGAATCGGGCTGTCCTAGAGGCACAAAACCAAAGTGGCTGAAAAAGCCCAGAAGGTCTGGCAGCATCTGAAGGGAAAAACAGTTAAGGTTTCTGGTCTGGTGACCCTTCCTAGAGGTAGTCAGAACGCGAGTAAGGGTGGGCTGTTGTTGGTTTGCCAGGGGTGTCAGTGCGGCACATGTTGTTTTCTTTTTTTTAAGTTGTTTGTATGGATTTCTCGTACTTCTGGCTAGAGTTTTCTCTCCTAGCTAGTTACGGTGTGATTTTGATTTTGTTTCACTGTTCCCCTTTCCTTGTACAAGTGTTGTTTGGTTGACTAACCTTGATTTTTGTTTTGCATTTTTTTGTGCAGTTTAATAAGGAGTATCACCTAGAGATCAGAACCTCCTCCCTTGAAGACAGACTCTGAGCTGGCTGGCCACAGCAACTGTACTGTGCACTAGTCAATAAAGCTAATTTGGTAATGGGACACTGGCCTCTGTGCAGTTATTTCAGTGCAGCTCCAACAGCACTCAAGAAGCTTGATGCTATCCAGGACAAAACCAATTGCCTCCACTACTGACACTTGGTAGCATCACTGTGTACTATCTACAAGATGCACTGCAGAAATTCACCAATGCTCCTTAGGCACCACCTTACAAAGTTATGACCACTTCCATTTAAAAGGACAAAGGCAGCAAATCCATGGGAACACCACCACCTGCAAGTTCTCCTCCAAGCCACCCACCACCCTGGCTTGGAAATATATTATCCTTCCTTTGCTTATGCTGGGTCAAAAAGCTGGAATTCTCGCAAAGGGCATTGCAGTAGTTTAAGAAGGCAGCTTCTCCAGGACCGTGGGGGACAAGCAATAAATTCTAGCTAGCCAGCAACACCCACAGCCCACAAACAGGCAAGCATCCTCTACGGTGGTATTCAAGATACACTATGGCACAGAAATGGATAGCCAAGTTCCATACCTGTGAAGACAGACTCAAGATTCACAATTGAGGCTAATGTTGTGCTACAGGTGCCACTATCACACTGTCCTGTTTTGACACCATCCCCTTGATAACTTGTTACGACCTCTCTACCTTTATTAGTTTGTACAGTTTTGGATTACTTGTTACTTTGGTTAGACCCCTACCATGTGACTCTTATACCTAGCATGTTATTCTAGTCATTTGGTTTGTCCTTAGCACCACTTTCTTTTTGTAATTATCTCTGCTTCAATTAATCAGATTATAGGTCATCCCTTCACCTGCTAATCAGCTGTTGATACTTTACTCACACAGTCTGACACTCTGGATCACCTGGAGAGGCCTAGTGTTTGGCCTGTCAACACGCTACTTACACCATTTGTATGATATTTTGGTCTCTCTGATTATGAACTCTTGTGCCTGGGTTCTCTCTTCATTTCACCTGATGAAGGGGCAGCACTTCGAAGGCTTCTGATTTCAAATAAACTTGTTGGATTATTACCTGAGGTCGTGTGATTTTGACCTTGTCCACCTCATTCCAACACTGGCACCTTCATATCATAGCCACAAATGAATAACAAGTAAAACCCTGGGAAGCATTGAGGATCAGAGGGACCTTGCTGTGCTTGTACACCAGTCGTTAAGCTATTAGGTAGTTCAAGTGGTACAAAGGGGTGTGGCTTACTTGCCTTCATTAGTCTAGGCTTATGGTTTAAGAACAGAAAGGTTATGCTGGAACTGTATAAAATGTTGGTTAGGCCACAGCTGGAGTAACTGGGTGCAGTTCTGGAATCTACATTATAGTAAAGATGTGACAGCACTGCAGAGGTGCAGCAAAGATCTGCTAGGATCGTGTCTGGGGTAGAGAGGCTCAGTTATGAAGAAAAATTGAACAAACTGGAATTAAAATCGTAGAATCCCTAACAGCATGGAAACAGGCCATTTGGCTCATTAAGTCCACCCAACCCCTCCGAAAAGCATCCCACCCAGATTCCCCCATCCCTAAATTTCCCATGGCTAATCCAACTAGCCTGTATGCCTCTAGACACTATGGGCAATTTTTAGCATAGCCAATCCACCTATCCTGCACATCTTTGGACTGTGGGAGGAAACTGGAGCACCCAGAAGAAACCACACATACACAGGGAGAATCTGCAAACTCCACTCAGACAGTTGCCCAAGGGTAGAACCCAACCCAGGTCCCTAACCACTCATTCACCATGCCACTGCTGTTTTCCTCAGAGCATAAAAGAGATCGAGGAGGACATGATATAAAACTGAGGGGCATACATTGGGTAGACAGAAAGAAACGTTTACCTTGATGGAGGGATCAATGACGAGGGGACATAGTTTTAAAGTAAGGTGCAGAAAGTTTATAGGGTTTGTGAGGAAAAACTTTTTCACCCAGAGTGGTAGGAATGTAGATCTCACTGCCTGTAAGGGTGATCAAGGCAAAAGCCCTCACAACACTTAAAAACTCTTATGACATGCACTTGCAATGCCAAGGCATACAAGGCAACAGGGCCAAGTGCTGGAAAACAGTATTAGAACAGTTAGGCATTGCTTTTGATTAGCGCAGATATGATGGGCCCAAGAGCCTTTGTCTGCGCTGCAGATCTCTATGACTGGCAGAAGCTTTTTGAGGATCAAGCATCAGAGGACTCATTGATGTACTTCCATGGAACTGAGGATGCAGCAAGTGTGAAACAGAAATTGGGATCTAATGAGGAATCCAGAAACATACATGTGTTTTGTACTTCTGACAAACGCAAATAACATTCATATTGTCCCTCATCTAATCAACAAATGCCGCCTGAACTTGTTAAAATGCGTGAGTTAGAGAATTCCTGCAGTTTGTTGTTTTTGAAGAGCTTTTAAATCACTCTGTGGTGCATGTATTGTTGACCAAAAGGTGACTTTTATTTGTTATTTGTGGAATGACAGTGGCATTTTAAGGCTGGTATTTATAGGCCATCTTGAGAAGGTGATGATCTGCTTTCTTGAATGAGTGCAATCCATAAACGGTGTGAGGAAGGGAGCTTGAGAATATTAATCCAGCCATGTTGGAAAAAAATGCCAATAAATTTTAAATTCTTGCCTCGAAATATCTTTAAAATACAATATGATGCCTTTCCAAATTGTTTTGAACAGTTTAAAAGCCAGTTTCAGACTGGTGTGTCCTGATGGGACTAAACATTGTTGTGCACACTAGCCTGGGTTCAAGTGTCAGCCTGCTGTGAAGATCACAGTCCAAGATTCCCACATCACCACTGCACTGCAGGTAAAGACAGTTTAACTCCAAGTGCTAAAGGCCAGACAAAATGAAATATGACAACAGAAGGATTCTCTCTCACCCTGAATGCTGGAATTCAATAATGGTCAAAAGGAATCAGACTACAAAATTGCAACCTATCTTCAAAACTAAGGATCTTCAAACCTAACTGACCTCAACCTTGCTGGTAACTTCCACTGCAATGGCTGCAACATTCAAATGTCTGCTCTTCACGAACAATTTACAGACTGATCTGTACTTTTTTTTGAAAACATTCCATCTTTTTGGACTCACCTCATAGGAGTTCTGCACTCATATTTCTTGTGCCTGTAGAAATTGATAAACTCACTTCTGGTTAACTCAGGAAAGCTGATTTAATTTGTGCCTTTTTTAAGCACAACTGTATCTGGTCTGGGAGCAACATATCTACAAGGGAAGGAAACCTTTCTAAATTAACCTTGTTGCACCCAACCAAATGGGTGGGTGAATAAAGGACAGTCAGTTCATCTATCTCCTCACTTGGGAGCTTGACAACTTGGGGTATCCCTGACTGGAACTGTTCTGAACTGAGGAATTTTGTCCAGGATCTGGTTGAGACTCACCCGGGATTTGATCAATACATAATGGTCATCGTTAAAATTTGTGCAGCAACAATATTCCTTTCTACTTAATTGCTCAGGTTTGCATGGTGTCCAGATCTTAGAACAGGCAGGCACAAACTGAGCCATATTCTCAATAGTCGCAAATGGAATCAATACTTTGCAAACATTAATAAACAACCACACTTGTGGAACCTTGCTTCAATGCTGTTATCTGAAGTTCACTATTAAAATTTGCGAAATGTTAAAATGAGAACATTTGAAAAACATCAGAAAGTAAAGATTTTGACTGCAATCATTTCTAGTGGCACAGTTCTCTCATCAAATCATCAGCTGCGCTAATGTCAAGAATGCCGAAAGTCACAGATCACATGGATGTACCAAATAAAAGCAAAAGTAAATAATTCGGCCCCTCAAGCTGCTCCATCATTCAACAAGACCATGTTTGCATTTCAAATTCCACATTCCCATCTAGCTCTTGATAATCTTTGATTCCTTAGCTTAACAAAAATTTATCTACTTCTACCTTAAAGATATTCAATTTTACATCACATCTTTCTTACTTTCTACTTTCACATCTTTCTGATGCAGTGTGTTCTGAAGTCTCACAAACCCCCGAGAAAATTTACCCTCAACTCCATCCAAAAGGGTGACCCCTCATTTTAAAACAGGGCTGAACAGTTCTGGATTAAATCACAAAAGAAGGCATCTTTTTCACAGAACACAAAAGAAAGAACTGCAGATGCTGTAAATCAGGAACAGAAACAAAGTTGCTGGAAAAGCTCAGCAGGTCTGGCAGCATCTGTGAAGGAAAAAAACAGAGTTAACGTTCTGAGGCAGGGTCACCGGACCCGAAACATCTTTTTCACATCTACCTTGTCAAGATCATTGTGTCTTATACAGTTAAATTGCTTTTCTAAATTCCAGTGGAAACAAACTCAATCTGTCAATCAATCCTCACAAGACATCATTCTCATTTTGAGTGTCAGTCGAGTATAACTGCTCTGAACGGTCTCCAACACATTTACATCATTTTTTAAATAAAACCAAAATGCACGCAGTATTCAAACTGAAAATCACCAATACCTTCTGTAATAAAAATATAACGTGCTTATTTTTATGTTCATTCTTCTTGTAATAAAAGATAGTTTCCTTTAGCCTTCTTGAATATGTACCACGTGTGCTTCTCCATCCAAAGTGTAAATGGGATCTTGGGTTTAATGTTTCATTCCAAGGACAACATCTGACAGCACTGTGCTCTATCAGTATGGCACTGGAATGTCAGCAAAGACCTTTGTGTTCAATTCTTTACAAGGGAACTTGAAACTCTGACATGGAGGCTAGAGTGCAACCAACTGAACCACAGCAGAAAAATGAACAAGAAGTGAGATTGGTAGCTTTTATTAGTACTTAGGAAGCTCATCAGATTTTAAAAATGCCACAAAACATTGTATTTACGGAATAGAAGCATTGAATAAGTACTTTGCACTAGCTTTCACAGTCAAAGACACTAACTGCATTCCAAAATTACTAAATACTTGAGGGGCAGAAGGAAGAGAGGAAATAAATACACTATCACAAAAATGAGAGAGGGGGAAA